GTTGTCGTTAGTCTGTGGGTGTGGGCCAGTCTCTCGCTGCCTGCACTTTCTCTTCCAGTGTGCTGATGCCTTCTTCCCCCAGCCTGTGACCCCAAAACACCACCTCTTTCCTCATGAAGCGGCACTTTTGTGGGTGTAATTTCAGGCCCGCCGCAGACACTCTCTGCAGCACCAGCCTCAGCGACTCCAAGGCCATTTTGAAGGAGCTCCCATGGGCCAGGATGTTGTCCAAATACACCAGACATCTCTGACGGGAATGCCAGCCAGCACCCGGTCCATGAGTCTTTCAAAGGTGGCCGGGGCGTTGCACAGGCCAAAGCTGAGGACCTGGAACTGCCACAACCCCCTGTCCATACAGAAGGCCGTCTTTGGTCTCGCTTCAGGGCTGAGTGGCACCTGCCAGTATCCGCTTCGCAGGTCGAGTGAAGAGAACCAGGAGGAGCCAGACACCAAGTCCAGTGACTCTTCGACCCTGGGTAATGGATATGCGTCCTTCTTGGTTACACTGTTCAGCGGTCTGTAGTCCACGCAGAATCTCATCTTGGGGCTCCTTTTTTTTGACACCATCACCACCCCCGAGGCCCATGGACTGTCTGACGGTTCGATAATGACAGCTTTTTGCACCTCTTCTCTTCCACCGCTCTGTCTGCAGCCTCACGGTGAGCCATGGGGAGGCGCCGGGGACGCGTCTTGATGGGTTGTGCATCCCCCGTGTCTATTTCGTGTTGCACCAGGTGTGTCAGGCCCACTTCGTCGTCTGCAAAAATGTCTGTAAAGTCAGATAACACCTCCCACAGCTCCTCCTCCTGCCATTGCTCCAACTTGTCACAATTCTGTCTCCATATCTCCCTCACCACAGCCAGCCTGTCCGTCCCCTCCACCGTAGTCGTGTCGGCTGGGTGAGGTGAGCCGGAATGTGCCGAGCTGGGCTGGACGTTGCTGAGGGCATGGGGAACCAGAGGCAGGGCACTACGGATTGGGGAGTTGTCGCTCTCGTCTGGGGTCTTTGTGCCATTGCAGTGTGTCTCCACGGCTGTCCTGACCAGGGGGGTGGCTTTGAGGACCCTGTAGGCGGTATCATTCTGACAGTGGGGCCCCCGGGGAAGGTCAATGTGTTCTCCCCTAGATCCAGCAGGCAGCACGCAGACCTCAAAAAGTCCAGCCCCAGTATACACAGGTCCTGCACATGCGCCACCCAAACTGAAAAATGTGTCGCTCGACCACCCACATTCAACATCACCTTCCCCCTACCAAGCATAGGGGCCAGCTCACCACTGTCCTGAGCTGCACTGTAGTCTGCTCCAACTGCGTACCCTCTGGAACCAACTCTGGCCGCATCAGTGAACCCGTGTCCACAAGGGCGGTACATGAGGCCCCACATATGTTGACAGGGACGTGGCAGAAATTCCCAGCATGAGTTCAGCCCACCACCATCGTGGTCTCATCTGTTTCAGGGGGGAGAGGAGCCCCTCTCCCCGTCTGTGCTGTTTGGCTCCGCCTCCTCCTGACGATGCGTCATGGGACATAATGCCAGGGGTCCGTACCGTCCCAACTATACGAGCCCTGGTCCGTTTCCCTGGTTGTCGGAATGCTTGGGGCACTGTCTGAGGAGATGGCCATCCCCAGCAAACCAGGGGGCGGTGGCGAGGGCGTGTGGCACTTTGTGGCAAATGCGTGGACACAGCCCGGATCAGTTCGGCCATTTCAGCCGCCCATGCAGGCTTTACTTGGGCCGCGTCAGTGCATGCAGCGGCTCTCACCGTAGGACCTGAAATGACTGCCAGTCCGCCTTACCGGACTGGCACTCCCGGACCGTACTATGGTATTTTACATTGGGCCCGGTAAGCATAGGCACCGCCATTTTGCCATACCTGCTGCGCGTTCACTCTGGCAGTAATGCCGTGGTGGATCCGACGTGCGAGTGAGGACACCTTCCTCATGTCCCCCGCTCTGTCGGGGGTCAGCAGAGCCCATTCCCGCGTTTCTTGGCCGTGCTCCTTTCTCGTGCGGCATGTCCATCGACCATACACACAGCGGCTCCGCTCGGCAAGTCCGCTAGCCGGCTAGGCTAACACCGGAGAAGAAACCAGTCCGTCACTTTTAGACTTCTGTCACCAGTGTAACGCTCACCCCAGTGCTGCAGCGTAAATAAGGAAGCGATGACTAGCTTGCAACTTAGGTGCATTTATTTAGGGAACACAGCTTAACTCCGGTCACTATTGGCCGAGACCACGCCATACAAAAGGCTTCCGCACACACAGCCCCCGGAACTAGCATTGTCTCGCGAGACAATCCCCCCACCTCAATAGGTCTCATATAACATTGACCTCTGCTGGTAACATTAGTGCATAACGGCAACAAATGCAACATGTGCATAACTGAAGAACTCATAATAGGGACACATTAACTCAGCTCATTACAGTATGAACATAAAAATATATACTTAGTATGCTGCAGAATGACACATAAGAGCTGATTTCTATATACAAATGCAAGCAGCATTTTTTTTTTGTGTAGCCCTTGGTCGAAGAGGGGCCCTGTTAAAAAGGATCCAAATACAAAATTAAAGCTGCGAGCAGCGTTGCACGTGTCCTCGCTAGTCCGCATGTCGGGGCATTGGCCGGACGGCTAGAAATGCAGCAAAGAACTCCTGCAGCCGCCGGACAAAGAGTCCGAGAGTCAGTTGTCGTTAACCGCGTGGAGCGACGCCAGGATTGTCTCTTTGCAAACTTCATCTTTAACATTATTAGGGTCTTAGGTCTTTTCTGAACACATTTGAGAGGGCTCTGATTAATTGCCGAGTACACGGGTATCAATCAATAGTAATAGCACTTCAAAATACCATACATGAGCCAATTTCCTTCAAAATCTAAATCACAAGAACACATTGGGTCAATTTTAGATTAGATTTAAGAGGAAGAAATCAATATTTACACAGTATTTCCTCAGGCAGAGAGTATACATCCCCAAGGTGTCCCTCGGGGATAACCAGGACATTCTGATGTACCATTTTAGAAATTAAAGCCTCTCAAAATGACACCCTCGTTTTTAATTGGACACTAGAAAATTTGACGTCTTGTTACCAGTAGGTGGCGCTATGACTTGTTTCAACTTTACATCACAACTTTACATGACTTTACATCACTAAAGGAGTGTCATCAAACATGCGTAAATTGGAAAGAATCCGATGATGTCCAGTAGATTTACAACGGTTTAGTTGTTCTTGGTGAAGGATCAGCTTTGCAGATGCACCTCGCTACCGATTATCGGATTCTTATAATATTCACAGTGAAGCGTTATCAAGGTCTTACCTCAGTGCTGAGAAATTTTGAAAGGGATTAGATTAACCTGTGTGGAGCATAACCAGTGAGGAGCAGGTATAAAATAAAAAAAACATTCAACATTCAACAGTGAAGCATTAACAAGGTCTTAGCTCTCTGCTAGGAAATTTTGAGAGGGATCAGATTGACCTTTGAGGAGCATAACCTGTGAGGAGCAGGGGGTAAAATAAAAAAAATAAACTTCCTGTTTTCCCCAGGTGGCGCTATTACTAAGGTTAAAAATGATCATATGGATGTCTACAGGGTGAGAAGTTCATGCTATATGAGAAATATGGAGCAGATTAGATAAAGTATGGTCAAGTTAAAACAACTTCAATTTTCATGGCAAATGGTGTTTTTTTGAAAGAAATTCCAAACTATGTGAACTATTTTTGGTTCAGCATTAGCATTAGCTAGCTAGTCTGCAGTAACAAATGACTGTCGTGATTGACAGATATTGCAATCACGCCTGTCGCTCCTGAGACGCGTTACGACGGACACGTGATCGGTTTACCTGGTGTCCTGACCCACCTGAACACCCGTCATTGGCGGATGTAAAGGACACGCGGATGGCCTCTGATTCACGGAGGGAGATCTCCACAAACGTTGGTTTGCCGGTCGAGGGGAACAAAGTTGTGGAGGAAAATACGGGACAAATGTGTCCTTGATCAAAAGCAGCAGTGGCGATGCACGGGGCAATAAAGTCTATGGCACATAAATAAACAAACCAACGACTTCCACACACAAAGACGTGACTCTCTAGGTCGTCTTCAACAAAAACCCATTACTCCACCTGTTGTTTTGGCGGTGAATTGCTCTGCAACACACGCAAGACTTTAGAACCATGAATTGAAACGAGTGCGTCGACGCAACAACGCAGAAGCAGAAGCATGCGCCAGCCTTTATAAAGTGTTCTTTCAGTAGTGAATCAGACTGCAGGTCAATGAGTTCAAGCTGAACATCAGTGGGTGAGGACGCAGAAGCATGCGCCAGCCTTTAGGCTGCATACGTGCCTCCATACAAAGTGCTGTGTTATATCAAGGACTGATCATAAGGCTATTAGTAACGATAAAACAGACCTGAATAACAACACACTTTTACAATTTTTCATTACAATCATTGATCAGTGTTTAAAACTTTACTTTTTACTATGAACTAATTCAATGTAAATGAATCCCAGACTGAAACAAATACATTACATCATTCTGTATTTAAAGGATCAGTTATTTATTTTACCCGTTGGTTTCTTGTTTTAAGATCGTAGTAGATAGTAAATGTTTTATATCAAACTCTCTGAAACTCAAAGATGTACATTAACAAGAAGGAACACAACCTTAAAAGGTATTTGATGTGCTGTTAACTTTTATTCTGAAGCCTTAAAGCCACCATGTATTTACTTATACTTATATATGTATACCCATACAAGTATAGTAGTCTATGTGTCCTTAGTACACTAAAGTACTTTGAAGGTAGATGAGGTAGGTACACCTGTACTTGATTAATGGGTAAAACATGTTTTAGGTGTAATAATATCTATACTGGGTGATAACATCTGGATTAAGGCACAATAACATCTGGACATAAGCAGCTTGACTACGGTATAGTAACATCTGAACTCAAAGAACATAGATATGATTGTATTATGGATGGAAGATCTGGATTAATAATCTGGCCCCGGGGAACTGTGGAACAGTTTATTAGAAAAATGCAAACACCATCAGCTACAGAAGATTTTAATCCCAAATAAAAGAAATGTGAAAAAGAATAAGGAATGTTAATTGTATTTTCTTTATTATCAGGAAACACATTAAGGACAATTTTTTAATTTATTCTTCACATATATTGTGACTGTGAAGGTGATTTTACAAAGTTCATTGGAAACTTGTTATTCATTAATTACTTGTTTCTCTAATTTAACTCTTTAATTTATTTATTGACAGGTATGAAAGTTCACTGTATTTTGTGTGGAGATAAAAACAATGAATGGTTGTTCTTAAAAATGTTTAATAATTGTCCTTTGCCGGTTTATGCAAACAAAGAAACAACAGCTTCACTTTCAATTTTAATTCCAGAACCACAGAAATAAAGTGGGAATCTAACAGAGCCAGTGACCCATGACCTGTGACCATTCTGCTACCCAGAAACCACCACACAAGCAGAACAGGCATGTTAACAGCCAATTAGCAGGGGAGGGAACTTTTCAGAATGAGTGGTGAGTTGGAAGAGATTATTCTGATTACCGTATTTTCCGCACTATAAGGCGCACTTAAAAGCCTTTAATTTTCTCAAAAAACGACAGTGCGTTTTATAATCCGGAGCGCCTTATATATGGATCAATTGGTTGATCCACACTGGTTGTACACGGCGCTCAAGGCGCTCTGTCAAAACGTTTCAGTATGAAAAACAAATAATAATAAATATGTTTCGGTACGACTGGTAAACTAGTGCTTGCAGCATTACGACTACCGTAGTCAGTAACCACCGATACTGTGCTCACTTAGAATTAGGGTGACCAGACGTCTTTTCCCGGGAAAATCGTCCGGCAGGGATTCCAAAGACGTCCGGGATTTGGCTTCGTCGTATATTTGTGTTTCTCTGGGTCTTTCACACACTAGTTATTCCACCCTTAAGTGTTGGAAATGGTGTCTCCCTTACGTTCCACCTTCTTGCGCTCAAAATGGTCGTATTTGGAGGATAATTATCGTGTATCTGGCAACATTGAGATCGGTCGACCAATGACTGTTCTTTCTACAGTCTGAGCTCACGCAAGAAGGTAGAACGTAAGGGAGACACCATTTCCAACACTTAAGGGCGGAATAACTAGTTTGTGAAAGACCCAGAGAAACACAAATATACGACGAAGCAAAATCCTGGACGTTTTTGGAATCCCTGCCGGACGCATTTTTTAGGTCTCAAAAGAGGACATGTCCGGGGAAAAGAGGACGTTTGGTCACCCTAGCATAACGCAAACCCAGGTAAAACGTTTGACTGCAGTATTTTATGCGTGTTATAATCCGGTGCATGTATAAAAAATGTTCTGAAATAGGTCTTTCATTGAAGGAGCGCCTTTTAATCCGGTGCACCGTATAGTGCGGAAAATACGGTATGCATTGTTGCTTTTATTTATCTGTTGAGTAAAAACACTAACCATCCCAATCTGACCCTTCCAGAAGTGAAACATTGTCTAGGAACAGTTGTTAAAGAGAAAGCCAAGAGCTGACAAAGAGGACAGTTCTTGGCTCTCGGGACCCCCCCCAATAAAGCTATGTGTCAGTGAAACAGAACGTCGAGTTTCAAGAAGAGCTAGGAAAAACTAGGACATTTATACATTATTGGAACTTATTCAGAGATGTTGAGTCACCTGTCCTCAGCGCTCGTGACAAATGTACAACAAGAAGACGTCTTCATCATTTCAGTCAACAGAAGAGAAGTCCTCAGGGAGACTACGCCGACACCTTGCTGTCCTTCTGGAACAAAAGACAGACCGTGTTCTCAAAAAGACTTCAGGTTTTATATCTTTTCCGATAACATTTACATGAGTTGTACAGTATTATGTGTATTCAACTCACGTTCTAGTACGATGATAAGTACATATGATAAACATGCGTGATGAGAATTAAACCATGTGACCAGTGGGCTCACCCTGTATGCCGATAGGTCGGCAAACTCCCGGCCAGCCGGGTTTCCTCGGTAACCTCCTCTGAAGCCCCCCCCCACTTGTGGTGGTCCGAAGGAGCCCCGGCTGGTGGAGCGCCCCCGCCCTCCTCTGAAGCCCATCCCTCCTCGTCCCCGGTTGTGGCGGAGAGGGAGGCCGAAGGTCTCCGCGTTCATCCTTCTCTCCTCTGCCCAGGTCTGCCTCCGCTCCCTGCAGGAGGTGAAGAGGAGGTGACGTACTAGGAACACTAGAACTTCTGAAGCTTCTGGACCAGAACCATTTACCTGGGGAACCCGGAGACTCCGGACTTCTCATTCCTTTTCCTGAAGAGACAAGAGACAAAGGACCAAAGAGACGGGTCATGGGAATTAACACCTCACGCATGGAGTCTGGTGAGGACATGGAACCAGAGGACAGAGGGTACCTGCTGTCATCACAGGAGATGTTGTCAAAGAAGGACTTGGACTTGTCGTAGTAAACGTTGGGGCCCAGTGTGTCCTCCTCCTCAGCCGGTCCTTCGCTGGTCTGGTTCTCCACTCCGGAGTCGACCTTCTCTTCTCCGTTCACCACTTTCTCCGTCTTCTCATCTGACAGATCAGGGGAGGAAATGGGATGAAGCTACAAGCATTAGCAGCACCGCTAACAGCTAACCAAGGAGGAGGATTACTTCAGACTGACTACCATTACCCCCCCCTCAAAGTTGTAAATCTAGGGTAAACACGGTCACTAGAATAACTTAATATGAAATAGATATCAAGCCTAGTTATGATTATGTTCTGCGTTTTCAAAGCGATGCAAGGACATGCAGACGCAAGAGCCCTTTGCGTGTCCCTTGCGTGTCTTTTCACATCTCCTTGCGTCCTTGCATGCGTCGACCCATTTTTATAGGCTTGCGTTGCAAGCCTCCCGCAGCGCACCAGGCTGCGATTGGTCCGCAAGTCTCAAATTTCCGTTTTCATAGCACAATGCCGCCCATTATTAAAACGAAGAATGTTTACGAGAGAACGGATCAGATTGAAGAACTTTTGTCGGAAGAAATGTAAATATGACCACTTCTGCAACCCGTCATTGGCGCATGTTAAGGACGCGCGGATGGCCTCTGACTCACGGAGGGAGATCTCCACAAACGTCGGTTTGCCGGTCGAGGGGAACAAAGTTGTGGAGGAAAATACGGGACAAATGTGTCCTTGATGAAAAGCAGCAGTGGCGATGCACGGGCAATAAAGTCTATGATACATAAATAAACAAACCAACGACTTCCACACACAAAGACGTGACTCTCTATGTGGTCTTCCACAAAACACGTTACTCCACCTGTTGTTCTGGCGGTGAATTGCTCTGCAACACACGCAAGACTTTTAGAACCATGAATTGAAACGAGTGCGTTGACGCAGACGCACAAGCAGAAGCATGCGCCAGCCTTTAGAGATGATTATAATACACCATTAAATATAAGGACAATAAAAACGCAATACTGGTCTGTACTCTCGTCCTGTAATGGCTGAGGCGTTTCCATGGAGACCTCCAGCAGACCTCTAGCTACCTTTCAGCTTCAGTTTGCTGTGGAAATCCCGGCCGATCTCCTCCTTGTTGAACTGCGCGTTGGCACTCTCAAAGTCAAAGTCCTTCTCAAACTTCATGGGTCCGTGCCGTTGGACATTGAAGCGTCCTCTGCCGTGGTGTCCGGCCCCGCGACCGTGGCGGTTAGCTGGTACGCCGGCAATCGCTGAAAACGCAGAAGAAAGAAAAGAAACCATCAGACACCAGAATCAGAAACTCAAAAAACTCAAAAGTCAAGAAATGTCCATCAGGAGGCTGTGAAGAACCAGCTATTAGCTTCAGAGTCCAGAAGTCACATCAACCAATCATCTTCTCAGGATATCACATTGACAAGGACACCCCCCCCCCCACTCTCCTCCAAATCCCCTGAACCCCTTAAAACCCCTTCTAAAAAGGGTTCATAGTCTTTCAGTCTCCAAACAAGTCCTTTAATGGTCGGACCTTTGGAACCAAATGGAAACATCACACTAAAGATCTGAACCCAACTCCTGAGGCACCCGGTCATCTCCTCATCAACACGTGTTCAGCTTGGAGGTCCAATGGGTCCTGGGAGGAGGGGACTCTCACCTGGGCGGCTGAAGACCGAGTGGCTGAGTCCTGCAGGAGGAGCCCTGTCCATAGCGCTTATGTGGGAGGAGGAGATGGTTCTGGGTGCAGACCAGCCGTGATTGGTGCCGTGGCCCCCCGTGACGCTCTCACCCATCCTAAGACCCATGCTGTCTTGGTGCGGGAGCTTCTGAGGGGGGGGGGGGCGTGCGAGCGTGGGCAGGGGTTTTGCGTCCCAGCCCTGGGGCCGGGGCTGTGGCCGTGGGAGCCAAGGGAGCGCTCTGGACCACCTGCTCCAGGGTCGGGCTCTTCCTTAGAGGGTCCAGGCTTGGGGTGCTGCGTCCTAGGCGAGAGGGGGTAACCAGAGGCAGGGACGTTAACTAACGTTGGATTTTTCAAACCCAAAAACCCTCCAAACAGACACAGCTCAGTTGTGTTGGTGCATTTCTGCTCTTCTCTGTGTTTTCTTGTAGCGACAGAGTTTCTTTTTGTTGTGATAGCGGGTGTAGGATATTAGAAACAAATATACGACCCGGTTCATAAAATTAATAAAAATGCATATAGTGTACATCAGAATACAGCCATGATTCTGAAACTGTGTAATCAATAAAGTAATGACAATATTGTAAAACCACTGTAATTCTGCAACTGTAATAGAATAATACCAATGTACAGTTATGATTGTATTTGATGTAATGTAATCAACTGGAATGCATGCATGTAATACTTGCACAACAACTGATATTGACTAAGGATCATTCGAAATCCAAGTTACATTGAACTCACCAGAAGACCACTCCCAGAGGTGTGGACACTGACTTTCACACCTTTAAGCATTGTTATAAATACCTGTGGGAACCATTGTTCTCGAGTTCGCTGGTGGAGGCTACAGACGGGCACTAGGGATGGTCAAAAGGACTGACCTGGGGCCTGTTGGTTGCTGAGACCAGCGGCTCCTCAGCTGAGATGTTCTTTTTACCACAACGCCATCTCCTTTATTAAATACATTTGATTTGAACCTTTTGATCAGCGATGACCTCTGTCCGTCCGGCGTTTCTTCATTTTTGAACACAACACGGGCAAGCTGTACCCAGAATGCAGTTTGGTTGTTGTAATTAGGGTTCTCGCAACGACTAGTCGTAGAGGAACCTATTGTATTTCAAGAAATTATTGAGTGTGGCCAGCGGAGCCAAACTCCTTGTAATCTCCCATACTTATTATTATTGAGTGTGGCCAGCGGAGCTGAGCCAAACTCAAAATCCAGAAGGTACACGTTTTGTAAATTGCGACAGGAGCTGTATTTATTACCAGACAGACATACAAAAAAATCTCCCTGCGTTCGGTAGAGTCTTATGTCTCGCACAAACTTCTTATTTTTTAGATAGCTGTTATAGTTTTGCGCTAGAGGACACTTGTTTTAGGTGTGGTTTCTTGGTAAAATCCGTTCACTCTGCGCGGTCTGTGATCAGCCTGCGAAAACCGCAGCTGCGCCGTCTCCATGACGACCACACAGGCTCGTGCCAGCACTCACTCTCCCTCTCCTACGTAGTGTGACAGACACACAGACCTACGTGGTGTGAACATGGCGCTAGCTAACACGGCGCTAGCTAGTAGTGATGTGTTGGTCGCGAACGAAACGGCTCTGTGAGCCGGCTCTTTGACGTGAACGACGAGAGCCGGCTCCTGATTGGGAGTCGCTTTGTTTTTGTTTTTTGTTTCTCTCTCTCTCTCTCTCTCTCAAGCTGCATTTTATCGGTCAATATGTGTGGTGGCGTCTCTGTGCCGGGACTTACACACACAGCAGCACAGCACACAGCAAGCACACAAACAGGGAGGCGAGTCACAAGAGAGAAAGAGAGCAACGGACTGGAAATGTAAAAAAAAGAAAGTTAAAAAAATGAGTGTCAACAGGAAACCCAGCAAAATCTGGCCACATTTCAATTACATTGACCTAAGGCAGAATGTAGAGTCTGCAAGACTAAAATCTCCGCACCCCACCCCAATCGAGCTGGCTAAAACAGCGCGCCAGCACTCATTCTCCCTCCCCTACGTAGTCTGACAAACACACAGGCCTACGTGGGAGGGAACATGGAGCTAGCAAACATTGCGCTAACATGGCGCTAGCTAGCATTGCACAATTAATAACAGTACCCAACGGCTGACAAGTGGCTCAAACAGCCAGTGAAAATCTCTCATGTCTTTAGACATCTAGCTAGGCTGTCTTTGATTGCCTTTGTGGCACTGACTCATGCAGACATAATACTACCGGCATTTCTACTGCTATTAATGCTTCAACAACTACTAATTTTACTACTACAACTAGTGGTATTACTACAAATGATACTATTACTATCACTACTACTACTAGTATTTCTAGTGCTATTAAAATGACTAAAATACTACTTATTCTAGTAGTGACTCTGCAACTGACATGACTAGAGAAAAGTACTACTAGTATTTCTACCGGTATTAATACTACAATTACTACTAATGTTACTACAAACACTATGACTAATAATATTAGTATTCCAGCTGTTTCTACTGCTATTGATACTTAACCTACTATTACTACTTCTACTGCTAGTACTAATACCACAATTACAACTAATACTACTACTAATATTACTACAAACAACTTAAAACCTCTTTTTAGTCATCTCAGTTTTTGTTATTTCTGAACTTTCATTCAAAGTTCAGAATTCATTTAAACTCCTGCAACTTCTGTATTTTTTAGAAAATCTATTGAATTCAGCTTCCCCACTTCCTGTATTTTCAGAAGTTCTTTAAAATAATTTCAGCTTTTCTTGTGTCTGTATTAACAGCAATGTTTTAATATTAATTTCTGTATTTATTTGCAATTTTTCAAATTTGTTTCAGCTGTTTTCAGCAAATCTATTGAAATTCCTTTCAGCTTCTCCCATTTCTGTATTTTCAGCAATTTCAAATTAATTTCATCTTTTCTAATATCTGTAATTTCATCAAATGTATTAAAATTCCCTTCAACTTTCTGTAATTTCAGCAATTTTCTCAAGTTCCTTTCAGCTTTTTGCATCCCAACACATTTTCAGCAGGAAATGCATTTTCTAGTTATTGTTCTTCGAATCTTTATCGCAACATCTTATTATTCTATTTCTTCTGCCACACCTTTCAACTCCTTCACACTTTCAGCTATTAAAACCATTCTACAAACAATATAAAACCTCTTTTTACTCATCTCAGCTTTTGTCATTTCTGTATTTTTTAAATTCATTTAAGCTCCTGCAACTTCTGTATTTTTTAGAAAATCTATTGAAATTCAGCTTCTCCCATTTCTGTATTTTCACCAGTTCTTTCAAATAATTTCAGCTTTTATTATGCCTGTATTAACACCAATGTTTTAATATTGATTTCTGTATTTTTTTGCAATATTTCACATTCATTTCAGCTGTTTTCATTTCTGCTTTTTCAGCAAATCAATTAAATCCTTTCAGCTTCTCCCATTTATGTATTTTCATCAATTTCAAATTAATTCCATCTTTTCTAATATTTGTAATTTCAGCAAATGTATTAAAATTCCCTTCAACTTTCTGTAATTTCAGCAGTTTTCTGAAGTTCAGTTCAGCTTTCAGCTTTTTGCATTCCAATGCATTTTCAGCAGGAAATGCTTTTTCTTGTTGAGTGTGGCCAGCGCAGCTCAGCCATACTCTTTATAATCTCCCATACTTATTGTTGGAATGCATTAAGCATTCCAAGTATTGTTCTTCTATTCTTTATTGTTGGAATGCATTAAGCATTCCAAGTATTGTTCTTCGAATCTTTATTCCGCCTTCTTCTTCTTCTTCTTCTATTTCTTCCGTCCTTTCAACTCCTTCACACTTTCAGCTATTAAAACCGTTCAAATATTAAAGTATTCAGCTTCTTTCCGGCTTCCGGGCTATGACTTTTCAGCTTCATGCCTCTTAAGCTTGAATTTATATAAATCAATAATCATTAATATTTTAACGTGGTTTTCAAATGGAGTTTGTTTTCCAAATCCTCTTAAATTTCTTCAACTTTCAGATTTTCCAGCTTCGCAAATTTTTCAGCTACAGACACCATTTAAACTTTCAAATGTTGACACAAGTCTCAACTATTTTATGAAAAAACTGCTTGTTGATATCTATTCTACTTTTTTCATAATCACTGATTATGTTTCACTAGTTCTTTGCTCCATTGCGTTTCTTGAGTAAGACCTCGAGGGCTAGAGTGTGGGGCAGCGTCAGTTGTTTAAAAAATATGGAACTTCGGTCCTTCCAGCCAAAGTATACACTCTAGAGGCTTCATTTCTTTGGATTAATGATGGCATGGTTGTGCTGATTGGATTATGTGTTCATGGAATCCCAGAGTTCTTTATTTTTGGATTCCTGAGTGTTAGAGTGACACAACCTCTGCCAAGATCCCCTTAGGCTCGAATACAAATCTGGTGACATATTTCTCAAAGAAATCCAGAAGGTACACGTTTTGTAAACTGCGACAGGAGCCGTATTTATTACCGGACAGACATAAAAAACGCATCCATGCGTTTGATAAGAGTCTTGGGTCTCGTAAAAACGTCGTATTTTTTAGATAGCTGTTATAGTTTTGCGCTAAAGGACACTTGTTTTTAGGTGTGGATTCTGTGTAACTCGCTGTCCTGTCTCTGCCCTTTTCAGCAGCTTGTTAATGAGCCCAGGTGCACCGTTGCCATGGATACTCACACACACGCTACAGCAGGGGTATTCAACTAAAATGTTAAGAGGTCCAGTTAGAGAAATTTTCTTGAAGCAAAGTTCCAGAAGATCATAATGTCTAACTATTCAGTGTGATATATATTTAAGTAGCCTGGTAGTTATATAAACATCTGCATATAATCAATACCTTTCAAATCAAAGGAATTCGGTACGATTAAAACACTTTTTAACAATATTTATTATGATGTAACATAGAACTGGACGTATGTGTGACTGCAGATATGTATAATGCTCTCTCATGAACTAAATAAAAGTAGGGCTGCATTTTTAAAATAAAATTAATACAAAATGAAAATGGTGCATGTAATAATAAATAATAATAATCAAATAGAGTGCTTAACTTCAGAAAAATTAAATAAAGGGAGGAAAAGCTTAAATGTCCCCGTTTCTGTTTCAGTCTCAAACGATTTTACAGATAATAAATCTTAACACATCTTAACAATTTAACAGTTTTAGAGCATTAGTCTTGCATCCCACTTCCCCACTTTGTTGGTCAGTGGGAGAATTGAGCTCTAGCTTGTCCTGCCAGGACTTTAAACCTGGGCTTGAATGGAGTCAGGGCCATCCGCATGCACATGTGGAGGTGCTCATTGGT